CAGTTGGACACGTCTTCTGCAGGCTTTGTTGCAATAACCTAAAATAACTTATTGAGCTTCGGTTTCCTGATGGGCTGGTAACAGTTGAGTTAAAGGCCCAAGGGGCACAACAGCAAGGAAGGTTCTTGTTTGGTTTGTCATTTTAAAAAACCAAGAGAGATGTGAGCTATCTCTGGTCTGCTTTTAAAAACAACCCAACCCTTTTTATTTAATACCGTTCTTGATCTGTGTTTGATACTGTTTCACCTGCCTTCAAGTAAGAGCTGTAGATGCTTCAGATGGATTGGAAAGTTGTCCGTGTTCCCTCTAACGTCTCGAAGGGACCAGTCTCCTTGTCAGAAATGTGATTTCTTTACAGTGGTACACTCCACTGAATCATGACAGATATTGCCTGCTCCACGGGTAGCAACATTATGCTAGAAGGACTGGTTTCGGCTCTCCTGCAACAGATAAACGAGATTGGAACAAGAAATTGATTTCTTCCATTATCTCCATTTTACTGATGGGGAAACTGAGGCACAAAAAGTGTAACACCAACGTTTCCAGAGTGGCCATTGAATTTTGGATTAATTTTCAGAGGCCCAACCTGAAATATTTGGGGCCTGGTTTTTCAGAGGTGCTGAGCACCCAGAGAATCCCCTGGCTTCATCTTGAGTCTTGGGTGTACCATGCGTCTACAAATCAGGCCTTACGTGTCCCAAGACCCTTCCGAAAAATGTTGTCTGTAACCTCTCGGTGCCTCAGTTTCCCTCTCTGTAGAATTGGAATAACACCTGCCTCTCATATAGCAAGCAGCCTGCTCTTGGAGCTGTTTTTAGTATGGCTTTGACACAGTGTCTGAACCGGCAGCTTCCTTGGAGCATCCTGGAAGGATGTTGAGCTTTTGCCAGCTGTTAAGTGAGAGGTGAGAGGGAGTTGGCTGCTGCCGTACCGCTGCCGCGTGTGAAAGTGGGGAAGGCAGCAGTCAGTGGCCATCAGCAGTGGCACTGTGGCTTCTGACGTTTGCTGTGTGGTGTGGTCCGTGATTTCACTAGCTCAGGCGCCGAGGGAAGTTCATCAGCTCTTGGTTTTATGAATCAGATTGAGGCAGATTTCCCTGCAGAGCTAATATCACACCCCGTTCACTCCCATTTCCTTTTGTGCAGTACTAGAAGTGGTTGCAGGGCAGGATCCAGTGGCATAGGGAGCTCTGCATGTGAGTAGCAGGAGCTGCTGCAGTCAAGATTGAGGACAGAACCGTGTGGTTTCCCAGGACTGCAATTGCAGGGGGTGCTCCAGCAAGACAGATGGATCAGCAGAGCTGTGGGAGGAAAAGCTCCCATAGCAGCAGCCAAGGCTGTCTAAAGCCTCTTGTGGGGGAAGAACAAACATTTCCCCCAGAGCCCCTCTCCCCTAGACAACACAGCTAAGATTCAGTGCGTATCGCAGTTCCGCTGCATGGTGTGGGGTGAGTTGTAGAGGGGATGTGTGGGGGAATCTCCAGCCCTGGGACATGCTTCGTGCCAGCTCCCTGAGCACCCGTGTGGGCGTGTATACTGGGAGGCGAGGTGTCTGTGGCGGAGATGTGGCCTGTGCGCTCTAGCTGTGGGTGGGGAGTGGCGCTGTAAATGCTGTACAGGCCATGGGACACGATGAGGACCCCCTGCGTTGGGCACCCAGGCAAAAACCATTCACCTGGGTTTGTGCAGTGACTTCATGCGCTGTCCCTCGCTTCACTGCAGTTCCTCTAGGAATCATTGTTTGAAAAAGATTGCCCTGTTGTTGCTATTGACCCCTGTTTTGCTAGCCTGGCTCAGCCTCCCGCTCCTCAGCTGGGGAGCCCTGCACAGTATCCCCCATTTCATTATTAGACCAAGCAGCCAGTTCCGGGTCAGGAATCAGGAAGGCTAAAGACTCACACAGGCATGGCCCCCTTGGCATGAACCTTCCGGGCTTTAAACATTAGTGTTTATTCATAATGACCCCGTGCTGGGGGCGAGGCTGCCAGAGCTGCCCTCCTGGGAGGTGTGGGATTTTGGGCCAGGCAGAGGTTTTCAACAGCTGGTGGGGCTGTTGTCTGCTCTATCTAGTGTGCCGCTCTGCTTCCTATCATTCAAATACAGAAATGTTACCTTCGTGCTTGTGACTGTCATGGGATTAATGGAGCAGCAGAAGAGAGGATGGACTTGTGGACAGAGCGCTGGCCTCAGGAGAGCGGAGTTCAGTTCCTTGCTCCACCACATGCTCCCCGCGGGACCCTGGGCAAGTCACTTAACCTCCCCATGCCTCGTTTTCCCCATCAACAAAATGGGAGTTGATACCTCCCCGCTTCAGAGGGAAAGGGATAAAATCCAGCCACGAGAGGCAGTGACAGTGCTATAGAGAGATTCTGTCAAGGAGTTTCTTCTCCATGCCCCATTTGCTTAGCAGAGAGGCTTCTTGAGGCAGCTAGTGATGGCGGAAACCTGTCTGCTAGGGCCTAGACTGAGACCCCCCAAACTCGCTGCACACTGCCTGTGGTCACAGCTGTCAATCAGGACTGTACAGTGGATACGAGCTAGTGACTTAGGAGTCTCTGCATCCCATCCCCTGCGTTGTTCATCCCTTTATCTCCTCTTGCTGTTTAAAGTCCCCTTTCCAGCACCATCCCCTTTCTTGCTGTTCTGTTAAAGCAGCTTGTGTCCTTCGTCTCTTCTGTTTCCCAGGCCCTGCAGCTATGGAGCAGGGATCGTGCTGCAGTGAGTTGGCAGAGGCTGTCTCAGCATCAGGCTATTTGGGGACATGGGTTTGAGCCTGTGCTGCGCATCCCAAAATAAAGTTACCAGTTATTTTAAAAGAAAAAACAACCCGCCTGCCGTCTCCACCCCCAAATTGCAGCATTGCCATCAACAGTCAGCCCCCTCTACCAGGAAAACTGTAGGAGACGTCAAGCAACACAGCTGCTGGGCGGGCGAGGTGTGGGTGTTAGTCAAAGCGTCCAGCTGTTCTTTCAATGCGGAGTCCATTCCCCCAAGTCCCCTGAGCCTTGCTGGTTTGATCCTGTGTGGTACCAGTGTGAGTCTTCTCCTGTTTGTGCCCTCCTCCCGCCCCCAGTCCAGCTCAGCTGGCACCTGCGGGTTCAGAAAGGCATGCTTCAGCGACCTGCCTCTTCCAGCAGCTGGGGCGGAGCTGGGCCTATCGGATCACTGAAATCCTTACAGTGGGCTAGTGAGGAGGGAGGGATGGGGGATTGTGGCCAAGGGCGAGGGGAGCAGAGGGGGTGGGAAAGTTGTCTGAAATCCCATGAAGTAGCCTCAAACTCCCCTTCCCTCGCACTTTTGGAAGAAGCTGCTCGATCTGTCTTTCCTGGATTATCTGAATCACTCCAAGAAGCACTGAGGACTCTCACAGCCATGCTGAGGGGTGGACTTTCAGGCTCGGCAGGTCGCTGGTCGAAGCAGCAGCTGGGCCTCTATGGAGCCCCCTTGCTCGTGTCAGTTACCAAGTGCTTCAGTAACCGACAGCAGAGGAACATCTGCTTCCCAGTGCCCTGCGAGTGAAACACAGATACTGGCCCAGGTTCATCCCTGTGGCAAATCCATTAAATGCAGCGGGGTTCACACCAGGATTTAATTTTACCCCATCTCTAGGCTGGTGGGAGTGGGGGCCAGTTCTCGGCTGGGCATGGAGCTGAATCCTTGAGGCTTCCTCACAAGTTTCAGCTTGTCCTGTTGAAGAGGGTTTGATTTGCATTGGCTTCCCTTCCTCCTAAAGATTGCTTTAACCCTTTGGGTGCTGGCTGTCACAAAGAGATTCCATTTCATTGACTTCATGGCAGGACAGGCTACACAGGTTAAAGCCCGAGGGTTTACCTGGACTAGCTAACATGCCTTGTCTTTACTGGGATTGTAACATGTGCTAGCTTAGCATGGGTTACAAATACACCTTTTTTCCTGGTGACGACACAGCCTCTATGCATAGGACAGATGCAACTGTGGGAATGGGGTAGGTGAGGTGGGCTCCATTGACATTGGTAGCAGCTTATCAGGTGTTAAGCTGTGCTGATGTAGGTTGGCAGGGTGTGGTGTAACCCAGTGTACTGGCAGTGCTGGGGAAAGCCTCCTAATGAAATCCAAGCTAATGTCATTTGGGGATTGACTTGAAAGATCTGCTGTGCAACCCATGGGAATCCAGCATTCTCCCCAAATCCAGCATCCTCTATCTTTGCTCAGCTGAGGACACTGGGCTAGTGAAGGTTGGCCCTGCCCTATAACTAGCCCCCCTGGATGGTTATTCTCTGAGGAATCAGCAGGTTCTGAAATACTCATACTGAAAACTAGGATTGATTTTGTCATCTAACTGGAAATGCTCTGGGGTTAAATTTGCACGGCTGCAGGGCCACAACTCACTGTTAGTGCAGAGTAGAATGCATCCCCATTCCACCCCAAGAAGAACACAGGTAGGGCACTATACGATGAATAGGCTGCTCTGAACCTTGCGGCTTCTCTATGGGTCCGGAGCAGAGATTCTCAGCCTCTTTTCAACCATGGTCTCCCTGTGCAGCCACTCACTGAAGTCCTTCTCCTTAGATGGCTTCCACAGTCCTTTGCATGCTCTTGTGATGCTTGAGAGAAGAATGTGGAAATGGGCACAGTGGTTTGGGTGGTAACTCCAGGAGCCCAGTCCTGTGATGAGATGAGCATCCTCTATTCCTTTGACTATCTTCTCTCTCCTCTACCCTGTGCTGTCCATGGTATTTCTAAGGCACCTCTTGTGATATATAAGTGCCAAGTTGAGGGGCGTCAGCACCTTTCAGCATCTCACCGGTTCAGGCCCTGGTGTCTGAGGTGGACATGGTCCAAATGATTGGACTTTGGCCTGGGACCCAGGCTAGAAGTATAGTCACAGCTCACTTGAGTGTTACAAGTTACTGACTGGGAACTGCTGGTCAAGAGAATCGCATTGAGAGATGGCCCTGTGATGTCGTGGTGCTTGCAGAGTGATGGGATGCATGGCTAACATGTGCCTGTGCTCTCTTTCAGGAGAGGAAGCTGTGCGCCCATCCCAGGCTGGAGATCTACAAAGGAGACCGCATCTATTTTGTGTGCCCCCTGGCACGCCAAGGAGACTTCTATGTGCCAGAAATGAAAGAGATGGAGCGGAAGAGCAGAGCGGCAGAAGCAGACGATGCACAGACAGATATCACAGGTACCCATAGGGCACATGCATGTTTCTCTTGCTTTCCTGTTGAAGTCAGTGCTTTCCAGGGTTGACTGGATGCAGGTGTCCCCAGACCCTCTGAGGCAGTGATGCTATATCAGAGGTGAGCAAACTACGGCCCACGGTCCACATCCGGCCCGTGAGGCTGTCCTGCCCAGCCCATGAACTCCTGGCTGGCCCCGGCCCCTCCCCTGCTGTCCTCCCTCCCCTGCAGCCTCAGCTCACCGTGCCGGTAGCACGGCGGCGTGGCTAGCTCTGGCCAGGCAGCATGGCTCATGGGCAGATTTACCAGTGAACACAGGGTGCCCTGGCATGGGCCCCCCAACAACAGAGGGACCCAGGGCCGGGCACTCGGGCAGCTCAGCACCGGTGCACCCCCCGCGGGGGGAGAGGGGCTGCACTGTGGGGGCAGGGGAGCAGGCTGGTGGTGTGAGCGCGGGGAACGCGGCTGGAGGACTCAGGAGGAGCACTGGTCAGCCGCACAGCCGGCTGGAGAGAAGCGGCGCTTTGAAGGGGAAACCGCCGCTTCTCTCCAACTGCGTGGCTGCCCCTGCTCCTCCTGAGTCCTCCGCTCATGTTTGCAGGGCCGCATAGGGGGTGGGGTCCCGGGGGGGCGGTTAGGGGCAGGGGGTCCCGGGAGGGGGCAGTCAGGGGACAGGGAAGGGGGGTTGGATAGGGGGTGGGGTCCCGGGGGGTGGCAGGACCGGCTCCAGGCACCAGCAAAGCAAGCACGTGCTTGGGGCGGCACAATTCCAGGGGCGGCTTTCCGGCTTTTTTTTTTTTTGCTTGGGCAGTTGCTCTCAGAGTTTGGGGTGGCAAATTTTTTGCTTGGGGCGGCAAAAAACCTAAAGCCGGCCCTGCCCGGGAGGGGGCGGTCAGGACAAGGAGCAGGGGGGGTTGGATGGGTCAGGGGTTCTGAGGGGGGCAGTCAGGGGCGGGAAGTGGGAGGGGGCAGATAAGGGGTGGGGGGCAGGCTGTTTCGGGGGGCACAGCCTTCCCTACCCAGCCCTCCATACTGTTTTGCAACCCTGATGTGGCCCTCAGGCCAAAAAGTTTCCCCACCTCTGTGCTATATGGACAAAGCAGACATGGTGGAGGGGGAGGCTGGTGATTTTACCCCTCCATTCACTGAGCAGCTGGAATTGAAGCATCTTGTTTCTTTAAAGGAACAACATCCATTAAGTTCCAGCAAGGCCCAGAGCCTATAACGCAATTACTCGTGATTTCAAACAAGTCAACTCCTATCCCTTAGATTGAAATAAGTGTTGATCTTGTCACCCACTTGACCCCTGGGGTATAGGCCACATCTTGCATAGTACATGGTCGTACTTACAATGTCAAATAAACAGTAAGCTAGTCTCAATTTGAACTATTGTGCTGCTACTGCCCTACTTATAATAGCGTTATTTGGATACTGCAACTTAGTTGTAGTCACTTTTTCTCCTCACATAGCTCTGTCTTGAGCTCTTGTGCATCTGTTGTATTTGGAATCCTGAGTAATTTAAGCAACAACTTTCTAGAGCCAGTGCTAGAATTATCCAATGGCACCTGCTTAACGAGATCTGCTGAAGTCTCTGTGTATCTAGAAAGGAAGTGATTGTAATGCCTGTAGGGGCGTGACAGCAGTGCTATGCTCTCCTATCATGGCACTACTGCTGTTATAACTCAGAATGCTAGTTGCTCACTCCATGTGCTCACACTTTCGTGGAACCAAAATATATGTGACTCATAATTGCTCTCTATAAGCTGTAAATATTTTACATCTGGGACATATGTTAGATGATATACTGTCTTGCGAAATACTGTGAAAGCAGCCCCTTTCGCACATTTCAGGTCAGATATACTTATGTAATATGCATTTAAAAAGTGACATACTCTTTATGTATATATCACATGCACATCTTTTCCACATGGGCAGTCTTATGATATTTTTCTTTTGCACTTCTTTAATTTTGAATTTCTTTCATTTGTAATCACGTGTACCATAAACACAAAAAGGGGAAGCTGTTTTCTGAGATCTTTGTTCATTCAGCAATACCGATATTAGGACAGTCAGAGTCCTGGCTCTTGCACAGTGCTCTCAACTCTTCCCCCTTTCCTGTAGCTTTATAATGGGCTCGTCCGTGATCTGATCACATGATGCTGTAATGTAACATGCTGTTTGGACTAATGCAGTATTTTCTTGCACTGGATTGGCACTCTTTTCTATAACTTTAGGTGCCAGTGCACAGCATTGGACCAATCAGATCTTTATAAACAGACACATTTTTGTGCACATTTAATTGTTTGATGTGGTTATATGTGTGCCTTTTTGTCAATATAGTTTCAAAAATTGGAGTCTGTATTAACTTGGTTAGATAATATGGAGAAAAACTCTAATTTCGTAGATCCAAGGGGCAGAGTTAAGGTGTTCAGAGCCTTCTCTCTGAATTACCTGACTTTAATTTAACATAGGTTTTGGTCAGTATTATATGTGGCGGCCCTAGCTTCTATATAGTTACAGAAAAATAGAGATCTCTTTATGTAGAGAGAGAGAGAATGAGAGAGGATGTTCCCCAGAGATGGTTAAAATTCCACTTGCTGACTATTGGCTGGGCGAGGAGGAAGTTATTTTGCAGCTTTCATGTCATGAGACATTTGGATTTTCCATATGTGAGTTGCGATGCAGTGCTGTCCGCCCAAGTCTGCAGAGAGCCAGCCTGAAACAACGGCCTTGAGAGGTTTAAATTGCCTTGAATGTAAATGTCAGTGTTGTTTACTTCACTGCTGATCATTTGAGCATAAACAATAGTGGGACTGTGGGTGGAGCTGTGCTATATTGTGTGGGCTCTGCATAGCCACGCCCCTTCTGCACCCATTCTGAGCTCTTTTCAGACCTGTTCCATGTGATTCTATAATGTCAAAGAAACCCAAAGCAACTGTGACACCATTTTAACCAGTAGGATTTCAGTGTGTGAATAAGAGCAGACCAACTGCATGATGGTTGGCTGAGTTACCACCAAGGTCATAACCCCAACACGCATCTCTCTCTGATGTCGACATCTCACCAGTGTTAGCGTAACTGCTTTGAAGTCAAACTCTTAAATCTGCTACTAGAATAATGGGGCCATGCAAGTATCAGCTGGATAGAAAACACCTCTTCAGGGAGGACTGCTAGTGGCATGGAGAGACTTTCATCTCCAGCTTGCTGCTCGGCATCCAGTCCTGGTAAGCAGTGACCAAAAATGGTTTCTCTTTGATGGCTGTTCAGTGTGAAACGAATTGTTGATTTTAGACCAGTTTCTAGTGGGCAGGTGACCACATCAAACAATCCCCAGCATGCGTGGCCTGCTTGTTGGCAGTCACAGTAGAGAGCCCCAGGACTGAATGGGCTATGAGAATTGAACAACTAGCTCACTCCTTGAAGGGATCCCCCCAGGTGTGGATTGAGGCCCATTCATGGGGAACGCCCGAACTGCCATTGACCGTGCTGTTCCTGTTGTGGAGATGGAATGACCCGAGCTGCCAATAAAACACCTGTCAGCAGCATGAACATTTAGAAGAAATAAACCCCAAATAGGCAATTCTCAGGTCTCCCTGTGGCGCTGCCTGCTGGCCATTAACATTGCATTCAGATTCACGGAGTAGGACATCTCTGGCACTCTCTCTGTTCTTCTCAGAGCTGAGTTAAAGTCAGGCCTCGCCTGTGAGTTGAATAGAAAGGTTTCTTTTTGCTTTTTAAAAAAATGTTCCCCCCCCCAAGCTATTCAGAGCAAGTTCATCCCAAGTCATGGCTTCTTCAACCACGCACCCTGGAGGGGTCAGGAATGTAATGACCCACCAGTTCCCCATGTTTCTTTATTCATTTTCTCTTGATTTCTGCTCCCTATCTTCTGGCTATGCGGGGGGGGAGGCCACGGTGGACCAGTTCTGACCCACAACTTTGTTTTCTCACTTACACAGGTTGGATCAGCACTTGACCCATCAGATTGCTCTCTCCATCCATCCAATTTTGTAAAGGTCTCTGTAGAGTGGCCCATGTTGAAGAGATCAGCTAGCAGCCTGTTCCCCACAGGGGACCTCACTTCTCGGGCCAGATTCTCAGTGGGTGTAAATCAGTGTAACTGTCGTGTATATATCGCTTTATACCTAGTTATCTTTGGTTGTGTTGTATGTATGCTATCAGGTGGTAGCTGACCACAGGATGAGCATGGTCAGTGCCCTTTCCTTTGGGCCCAATCCTGTGATATGCTGAGTCTTGCCTGAGTGGTGTTGTGCCCCTCCTACTTCCAGTGAGGCAAATGGGAATTGAAGGTGCTGAGCACTGAGCAGGATTGGACCCTTTCTCATCACCCTCTTCATCCCTTCCCTCTTCTCATTCATCTGCAATTCTAAGGCCAGGTCACTTCTGGATCATGGGATCATCCTGTCCAAAGCAATTAACAGATGGCAAGATTTTAACATACCCCCCTTCCAATCCGCCTCCTGGGTGTTTAAAAAACATGTCGTTCAGAATTAGGCAAAAGAAAATTCGCAGGGTGTCTTTTTTTAAACCTACTTTGATTTCAGAACAGCAATAATACTTGATAATACCCTGCCCTGATACAGCACCTTTTGTCTGTGGTTCTCTTAGCTCTTTACAAACAGCTGTATTAAAAATTCCCAAGTCTGTTTGAATTAATGATTTCATTTGTGAATTTCCAGCAGAAGGCTCTGCCATTTCCCCACTGACTTTTGAGGTGAATGGTGTCATTCAAAACCCAGCGACCTGTAGATGTGCAGCAAAGGCTTGGGGTTTTGAAGTTGAGCGGTGATTCTGTGACCTTGGGGGGGGGAAAAAAATCACAGCTGTCTGTCTATTATCTTTCCTCCTTATCGAGCTGATCTCCGAGGTGCTGAGTGCCCTCCATGCCGACTGACACCAATAACAGTTGGAGGGTGCTTGGGAGCTCACTGGATTGGGCACGATGTGTCTATTTAATCTGTCTACACACTGGTAAAGACTCTGC